GATTAAGATTTTTAGTTAAGTGTTTAAGTTTGTCTGAACTAGATAAAATCAGATGAAAACCCCTTTAACTTTTGCTTGTTTTAGGTTAATTTTTAGTAGTTATCTTAGTTAATTAAATCTGTTCGTTGAGTTCGACCCCAACTTACTTTACTATACTATAATCCGACTAGGTACACTTCCTATAGGTGCAATAGTAGATAACCAATTTTGGAGGCCAAGAAAGTGCACAAAAAAATTCCTTTGAAGCAGAATTTGGTTGGAGATTAAGATATTGAAGAACACATCACCACATTGGTTTGATTTACTTTAGTCATGTTGATCTATGTAGAACTTATGTTTTCGTTTTCAACCTTGAGTAGCTGAACTTATTTTTTTTTCGTTTAGCTAGATGATACTTTGACTCTACGGTTTAGTTATTTGATTTATGGATTATAATAAATGGTTTTGTGCTTGTGTTTGATTATCATTACCTTGCATGTTATAGTTGTGATTTTGTTGCTTGAATTTAGGTTAAGTGTAGCTTAGTGAACATTAAATTACATGAACTTAATTACCTAGTGATTTAGTGACCATTAAATTACTAGAGCTAGGATTGATAAAATCTACAAAAATTAATAAAAGTAACAATTTAGTTATGCTAAAGAACATAAATTGTGAGCATAATTGTGTTTTCTTAGATAAATTTTACATAGCCCATTTATAATTACTAACTAATTCTTTGGTTTTTTTTTTTTTACGTATGACCATATAAGGTAATTCATGAATTGGTGAAAATATTAGTAAATTTGAACTTGAATTACTAATTACATAATAATCGGTAACCAACTCTAATAATCCATAATGAGTATCTAACCTTAGAGGAGAAGTGGATTCGAACTAAACGAAAGTGTTTTGTAATATATTGATTAAGGTCGTTAGTTAAGTGTTTAAGTTTGTTTGAGCTTGAAAATCAGATAAAAACCATTTTAACTTTTGCTTGTTTTAGGTTAATTTTTAGTAATTATTTTAGCTAATTAAATTCGTTTCCTGAGTTCGACCCCAACTTACTTTACTATACTATAATCTGAGTAGTTACATTGCCTATATGTGTAATAGTAGATAAGTAGTTAGTATATAAATTTAAAACTAGATAGGTATAGTCTGCGCCACATCACATATCTACGTATATATCGACTAAGATTTTCAAATTTAAAAATGAATAACAAAGGAATCATTAAATTAACATACAAAATTTACCAAATTCTTAAAGGGACTTTACCAAGAGATCACCGAACATGTTCTTGAGTTTCCCGATGATGAATTCTGGTATATCGGAAGATTTCCAGAGTATTCGAACCTTAATATGCAAACTCACAAACATTTCATTGATCAAACACAACCCATTAGAAAAAAAAGGAAGAATTTTTCGTCTTCCTTTTTCTTGATTAGTCTTCTCTATACTCAATAGCTAACAACCAAAAAACCCTATAATGAAAATAACGATAGAGAAAATATAAGACAAGGGAAATAGGAAATTAAACGTTGAGATTATGACCAAACATGGAGATGGACGACGTAGGAGAGGATTGTATACCACATCACAAAATCAAAAGAAAGTAACAATAATTTCTTCTAACACTAACCAACAAAAGATTTGGTAGCAAGAAAGGAGCATGAAGATTGCATAATGGCGGCAACCAGTTTTGTGATACCTTCCATCCACTATGTTGTCGTTGATGTTCAAAGCAAGTAGATGTTGTGGAAGAAGAATCCTATTGGAGCAGAAAACAAAAAACATTCTGAAAGTAAATTGTACTATTGAAGTCGGTGACTATACCCTCTTTAGCCAAAGCTGATGAAGAAGTCGTGGCTCCATTCTTAAAGCCAACTTAGGTCTCACAGTTTTTAAGGACCAAAAGTGTCAAAGTGGGTAAAGAATTTTGACAAAAGACTGAAGTAGAATAAATTTACTGTTCATAAGGTTTTCCATATATATATATATATTGGAGATTAGTATCGATAAATTTAAATTTTTTTTTGATGTTACTAACATTCATTATTTAATGAACATTGTTTTCATTTAAATGTGAATGTTGTAGCATAATATTTTGTCTTAAAAATAAAGTTATATTGATGTGTAATTATAAATATTATAAAATTAATATATTTCATTTATTTTAGATAATAAGTTTGTTAAAATTGAAAAAAAAAAAAAAAAACAGATGTTTATCAAATTGTAAACTAAAAAGTTATGAAAAAATAATGAAAAATATAAAGTGTTTAAAACCATCATTGAATTTAAATTACATAAAAAATAATAAACAATAACTTTTGTTTTAAAATTCCATTGTGACTGCGTGAATGGTCTATTGCAAGTCGCAATGGTATTTTAAAAACAAGAGTTAAAGTTTATTAGCTTTTGAAGATATTTTTTTTAGTTTAATGATATTTTTAAAACACTTTAGATAGTTTGTTACTCTATAATGACATTAATTGTTGTCTAAATGTTGGGTTAGGTTAGAGTTTTATTCACTTTTTACTTATAACTTTTAGAAATTGTCAACTAAAGTATAAGTAACTTTGGTACTAGGAAATTTGGTCTTTTTACTATAGATTTAACATAATTTTTAATAGAGTTAAACAAAGAAACGACAATATTTGATTTTTGAAATCACTAAGGATTATTTGTGGCCACTTTTATGAAACCAAGGGACAATTTATGAACTTTTGTCAAGTATTTTATTTGGAGGGAAAATGACTCTTCAGGGTAACTAATTGTTGTATTCGTTTTCATTTGGTTCCTTTCATTTTTTTTATTTTTCATTCAATATACCATCGAACTTGTTGTTTGTATTCACCATAACCCTTTTGACCGGATTTTAACCTGTGATAGCCGGTTAAAAGGGCTATGGTGAACACTGACAATAAGTTCGATGATATATTAAGTACAAAAAAAAAAAAAAAAAAAAAACCCGAAAGGGACCAAATGAGAACAAACTTAACAGTTGGTTGTCCTCCTGAGTCATTTTCCCCAAAAAGTTAAATGAAATTAAAGTTGTAAAAATATCAAAAACTGCAACCTTCTTTGGTGATAACGTACATGAAGAGCATTTTGGAGGGGTAGTTTCGTTAAAACATGGTCGATACTATGCTTACTGTGGTTAGCTAGCAACACATCTTTGCAAAAGGATATGACTATGTATGATAGGTATATTTATCGGTATAGATGTTTACCTCAAGGTATATTATGATGATGTGTCTGCAAAAGCTGCATGATATAGTACATATTTATGTTGTATCTTATCCCATGAATTCGATCTTAAAGTTAATTAAACTGAAAATCACAACACTTGTGATTTCATTCGTTTGTAGACTTGTCTAGAATACTTTTTTTTTTTTTTTTTTTTTTTTTTTGAAACGACAAATGTAACCTACTCCTAAACTACACCTTAAATCCACATATGTCCTCAACGGGACTTGAACCCTCAACCTCAAAGAGGGAGGGCAACACCAGATACCCTCAACGGGACTTGTCTAGAATACATGATACAATAAATCATTTGATTGGAAATTTAATGTAGTCATGAAATGCACCTGTTTAATCAAGATTGCCTAATAAATATTCAAGTACATTACAAAGTTGTACATGTATGAATAATGTTTTTTCGTGGGTTATATTTGAAGAGAAGAAAATGAATCTCATAAAGTCATTAATATGAGCAGCAGATGACGTGATATTTGCTATAAATGAGTAAAAGAAAATAACTCTAGAGGGCAGCTAACCGTTGCGTTTGTTCTCATTTGGTCCGTTTCTTTTTTTTTTAATACTCAATATATTATCGAATTTGTTGTTTGTGTTCATAATTACCTTTTGACCGACTATCACATGTCAAAAACCGACCAAATGATTTATGGTGAACACGAACAGCAAGTTCTATATTGAGTATAAAAATAAAAAAAAAATAAAAAAATGTAAAACGCAACAGTTAGTTCTAGAGTCGTTTTCCTTTATTTGGGGAGAGATTGAATGGAAATTAAAAAATATTGCATGCGAAACACAAACCCTTGGTGTTGGAGCAACGAATGTGCAACTCCACTGCTGATATGATAGAAACCTTCTGACACAAACACAAAGTCGAGGCATCGACAATCTGACACGAATCAATCGTCATTGTTAGATTCTATAGACAACCAAAAGTTCTACAGTGCTTCACACGTACAAAACCTCAACGCAAATGTACATGTTTTACAGAGGTTGGGGGATTTATCAAAATTCTTTCTAGGGTTTCAAAAATCAGTGGATTCGAATGTCGTTGTTACGTAAATTTATATCTAAGAAGCCGCCCGATAGACTTGTCTATGTCTATGAAAGACTATACGGTAATTATTTACCCTTCTATGGAGTAGTTAGTTTGGTATGTTTATGTATGTAATACGTTTATCTTTTCTCTTTAAACCTTTCTCCTTAAATCATCACTTCACTTCTATCTAGGTTTAGATGCTACTTCTAATATGCGGGTTTGAAAGAGGTAGAAATTGATTAATCGTTCAACTTTACTCTTTAAACTAGTGTCGTATTATGAACTTGTGGCATTATATTGAAGTGTGATTATTGGATTTTTCGATGCTTTAGTTGAAAATTTGAAAAACAGTGGTTTCTAGACACATTAGAAATTTAATAGAGACAGTGAACATTAAGTTAGGGTTGTGTTGTTACCTTCTCTAGGTTATCATTTCTCCTGTTATAAGGTTTTTGTTCTTGAACTTGTATCAAATTTCTAGTAGATTAGAGGCAAGTATAATGTGTATACAACTCAATGTATATAATGTGTGTCCAATTTCTTTGTGAGTACGAATTTATTTAAGATTAGAACTTGTCTCAGTTTGATTTGACGACACACCCATTTGGTGTAGTCTTTGACTCCTGTTTCAGAATTAAAACTTGGGAACACGAAGAATACAAAGCCTACGTGGGCAGCATCATAACCCAATTTCAAGAAACTTACCCTGATTATTCAGCCATGATTTTCAATTTTCGGGAGGGAGATACAGCAAGCAAGATACACCAAGTTTTATCACAATACTTTATTACTATAATGGACTACCCTCAGCACTATGAAGGTTGCCCAGTGTTGACAATAGAGGTGATCCACCATTTTCTTAAATCAAGTGAAAGCTGGCTCTCACTTGGACAACATAACATTTTGCTAATACACTGTGAGGTTGGTGGTTGGCCAGTCTTGGCTTTCATGTCTGCTGCTCTTCTTCTTTACAGAAAACATTTCACTGCTGCAAATAGGGCCCTGGAGATGGTTTATAAGCGGGCACCACCTGATGTGTCAGTGTCACCGCAGCTGATGTCACCATTGAATTCTTTAGCTTCTCAGTTGAGGTACTTACAGTATGTGTTAAAGAGGAATGCTGATGAGCAATGGCCTCCAGCAGACAAACCACTTACATTAGTTTGTGTGATGATGAGAATGATTCCTGATTTTGATGGAAAAGGGGGTTGTTGTCCTATATTTAGAATTTATGGGCGTGATCCTTTGTTACATGTTGATAGAACCTCTAAACTTCTTTTTTCAACTCCAAGGAGGAGTAAACATGTCTGCTCATACAATCAGGTAAGATGTCCTATCGTGATTGTAGTATACAATATACGTACCACTGGTCTATCTAAATTATCTTCTTGCCAGCTCTGAGAATTAAAAATGTTTCTTGCCCTTGCTATATATTTTGGGTTAATGACATATACTTGTAACAAAATATCTGAGATTTATTCATTCGGTCACCTAAGATCCAATTGAGCTAGCTAGAGCACTAAACATCATTTCTTTTTCAATGTTGGCAATGTAACAGCTTTTAGTGCCATATAATGGAAATAAACTACTCAAAAAGTTTGCTCATTTAGTTCTAATATTTTCAGCCCTAAACATCAATATTTGTTACAATGTTGGCCACATGACATTCTATAGGTGGTGTAACTGGTATACATGTGGACATGGCATCCGATTTGGGTACTCTGAAAATTAGTTTTTATTTATGTTATATATATTTGAACTGGGCTTGTTTTGAAGAAATTATCCAAGAAAAAATTTAAACCCTAAAATGTAAACACATAGGAGTGAAGCTAATTATTTGCCACGTAGGAGCCAAGTTGCATGCCACATGTTCAGGGTTCTATTGGGCCCTATTAGAACTTTGGTGACTGAATGAGCAACTTTCACATAGTTTGTTGTCAAATTGCCATTTTCGCATAAAACCTATTAACTTTTTAAAGCTGAAGTTTAAAGCTCTATTGAACAAAAGGTTACGTTGCTAACATTGAAAAAAAGTTGATGCTTAAAGCTCTATTGAACACAATTCGAACTTAGGTGACCAAAGGAAAAAATATCATATAGTTTGTTACCCATTTATGTCATTAACCCTTAACTTTTTAGCACCATGTTTCTTATTCTAAAAGATTATCAGTGCTGGTAATTGGATTCATCTGTATTTGGATTCCACATCTTCTGACCTTTGCTATGCATTGCAGGCAGAAAGGGAAGTGGTCACAATAGATATTAATTGCAATATTCAAGGTGACGTTGTGCTGGAGTGTCTTAACTTGCATGATGACATGGTGAAGGAAGATATGATGTATAAGGCCATGTTCAACACAGCGTTCATCAAGTCAAATACTTTATTGCTTAATCGTGATGAAATCGATGTGTCTTGGGACATTAAGGATCAGTTTTCTAAAGACTTTAAAGCTGAGGTATTTTTCTTTACGTTACTCCTAGTCACAGAGCATAATGAAAGTTAAAAAAAATAACTAAAATATATGAGAGAACCATATATAGTACTACATCACTGCCCTTGGACTAAAAAAAATGGGAAAATTACTTACGAGCCCAACGAAGTTTCCAAACCATTCAAAAAACCTCAATCGTGTTTTGTTTGTTCAAAAAAACTCAACGAACTTAACCTTTTGTCTAAAAAAGCCTAAGTAAGCTATACTTTCCTAAAAGTCAAATAAGAGAAACAGATGACGTGATTTATTACCGTATCAGGAAAATGACTTATCAGATGAACAAGGTTTCCAAAACGTTTAAAAAACTCCAATCATGTTTTGACTGTTAAAAAAAAAAACCCAACGAAGTTAAACAAAACAAAATTGGGATTTTTTGAACGGTTTGGAACTTTATTGGACTTTTTAAACAAAAGGTTAAGTTCGTTGGGTTTTTTTGAACAGACAAAACATAATTGAGCTTTTTTGAATGGTTTGGAAACTTCGTTGGGCTTTTATTTGAACTTGTTAATATGTTATATGCCAATTATACCTCCCAACCAAAGTATTTTGTATTTATTAATTTTCATGCATATTATGATATATATATATATATATATATATATATATATATATATATATATATATATATATATATATATATATATATATATATCTGAGTAATTTTTATTGGATGAAGCTTCTTTTCTCCAAAATGGACGCTACAGCTTCTAAGGTTCCAGTAGATTTATCTTGTTTCGAAGAAGAGGGGCTACCAATGGAAGCATTTACTAAGGTTCAAGATATGTTTAGTAGTGTGGATTGGCTTGTACCTAAAAGTGATGCGGCTTTGAATAGGTTACATAATATGGCTTTATCAGATATTGTTAATGAAATGTTGGGGATTCAAAGCACTGATCAATCTAGCAACCTACTTCAAACACTTCCTGTAAACAATCAAGGCAAAGAAGGAACTACAGTATCTCATACAAAGCCAAAGGTTTCATTTCTTTGTGATAAGAAGAGCTCATCTGGTATTGTGGGGCCCAGAAGTGTTTCGCTTCCTAGACAGTTACCCTCTTCAAACCAGTTACAAGCATCATTGGATGGTGGTACAAAACCTTTTTCATCTTTTAAATTCATGTCACCTCATATAATCTTGACATTTACACATCCTTCTGTTTCTGACATACTCGAGACACAATTGCATGATGGTGGGACATCTTCCTTGCCTCCTTCTGTCCCACCACCTGGGCCGACTCAACCACCTCCAAAGAGTGATGGAGGTGGTGAACCTCCGCCACCACCACCACCACCAGTTAAACCACCAGAACCACCAGCGCCACCCCCACCAAAAGCAAAACCAGCGCCACCACCACCACCACCACGTAAATCAGCTCCACCACCACCGTCTCCTCCGGTTAACGGGAACAAAGAAGGCGCTGCAGGTCCACCACCTCCACCACCAGCTTCAAAAGGAGGTGGTGTAACTGCTCCATCTCCACCACCTCCTATAAATAAACCGCGTGTTTTATCAAGGACATCTGCTGTGAAAACTCAACCAGCAAAAAAGCTGAAGCCTTTACATTGGTCAAAAATAAATAGAGTAGGACAAGGAAGCTTGTGGGCTGAAGCAGAAAACTCTGGTGAAACTGCAAGGTGGTTTTCATTTTATTTATTTATTTATTTATTTTTTGACATATTGACATTGATCTCGTACTAAATTTTGCTTTCTTAATTTTATCATTAGGGCACCAGAGATTGACATGTCCGAACTTGAAACACTCTTCTCAGCATCAAATCCAAATTCTGACAAGGCCTCAAAAGCGAAATCCAAAGTAGCTAATAAACCCGAAAAAATACAACTTGTAATAATCAATTTTCCTTGTTGATTGCATGCAAAATCTTTAACTGTACTTATGGTTGACTTCACACATCTTTTTATGTAAGATTAGTGGATATTTCACACTTGTTGCAGATTGATCACAGGCGGGCGTATAACTGTGAAATCATGCTTTCAAAGGTGAAGACACCATTCCCTGAATTGATGGTAAGCTCAAAACATTATGCATTTATTTTAAAATTAAGTTTTCCAATAAATGTTTTTTAATGCTTTAGTTGTGAAACTTAACAGGAACATGTCCTTAATTTGGATGAATTAGCAATGAATGTTGAGCAGGTGGATAAGCTTATCAAGTTCTGTCCTACGAAGGAGGAGATGGAACTACTTGAGGTGTATTTACATTCTACATTACATTACATAACCACATCTTTTATTCATAGTATAACTTACATTTTATATATATATGCTCAGGGCTATAAAGGAGAACCTGAAATGTTGGGAAAATGTGAACAGGTACATAGTACCTTTTTTTTTTCTTGATTTGTATCATTAGTATGTCAATAAGTTTGGGGACTGAAATATAAAATTTTAATATCTGATTTCTTGTAACTCTAGTTCTTCTTAGAGCTAATGAAAGTTCCACGTTCAGAAGCGAAGCTTGTAGTTTTTTCATATAAGATACAGTTTAGTACACAGGTCAGGAGATATATATTATTCTTTGCATTTCCTGCTTTTTTATATTTACAGTATTTTAACTTTACTGTTCTTTTTGCAAATATAGGTTTCAGAACTTAGGGATAAACTAAATGATGTATATTTATCAGTAGAACAGGCAAGTTTATAGCTACCTTTCACTTTAATTATGCAGTTATTCAGAGACAAAAAGATTGGATTAAATTTTACTCTTTTATGTATGTTATATCAGATTAGGAGTTCTGTAAAGTTTAGAAGAGTCATGCAGACGATTCTTTCTCTTGGAAATGCTTTGAATCATGGAACTGCAAGAGGTGAGTTACTACTATTAGTTTTATTTTATTTCGAGTTACAGAAAATTGTTTTGGTTTTAGGTGCTGCTGTTGGGTTCAGACTAGACAGCCTCTTAAAACTAAATGAAACACGTGCTAGGAGCAATAAAATGACTCTCATGCATTATCTTTGTAAGGTAAGATTTTTATTTATTTATTTATTTGTTTGTGTTTCTTTCACTTTGTTTATGGTATCTGTGGTGTATATGTTAGGTCCTTGCAGACAAACTGCCTGAACTTTTGGATTTTTCCAAGGAACTTGGCAGCTTGGAACCTGCATCAAAGGTGATCATTGTGGCGTTCACATTTTTTTTTTAAATTAGACTTAATTATGTTAGTTTTGTTTTTGTTGATTTGAATGATATATTTATTCCAGATACAACTAAAATTTTTGGCAGAAGAGATGCAAGCGATTACAAAAGGACTAGAGAAAGTAGTCCAAGAAAAGAAATTGTGTAAAAAAGATGGACATGGGTCAAAAAAATTTCGGAAGGTATGCATGCACATAGATTTTATAAGAGCCATAAATGGAACCTGGGGTTAAGGTTGGGTTTAATTTATTTTTGTTTTCTATTTTCAGACTCTCAAAAAGTTTCTTGCTTCTGTGGAACCTGATGTGAAGTCCTTGGCTGCACTTTACTCTGAAGTGGTAGGTATAAAAAATTCCTGTAATTATATAAAGATTGTTACGAGTGTCCCAGTTTCTAACACTGCGCTTTACACAGGGTAAAAGTGTGGATGCTTTACCTATTTACTTTGGAGAAGACCCTGCCAAATGCCCATATGAAAAAAGTAATCCAATCATGAGAACAGTTTACGTTCATGATAAAACATTTCATTTGTTACAAATTGATTTCCAGTTTCTAAGTTGTGATATTGTTTTCAGTTGTTGAAACTTTGCTTAAGTTTGTGAGAATGTTTAATCAAGCCCATGATGAAAACTGCAAGCACATAGAGACGGAGAAAAAAGCCGCACAGAAAGCAGCAGCTGGACAACAAAGACTAAAGGCAGAAGAAAAAGAAAAGTCGAAAGTACAAAATCATTCCAAAATGGAGTCGGAACTAATAAGAAATAAAACTCCTATAGGAAGTGCCAAATAATTTTTCTTCTTTTTCCCTTTCTATATAACTAAAAAATGGTGGAAAAATAGAAGCGGCTTTTGGTTGCAGCAGCCTGTGCATGTGTTGTAGCCTTCTTTTGCTGAAAAAATGGTAATGATCTGGTGTTCATTGATGAAGAAGAAGGGTTCCCCATGGTGGTCTGCAATGTAAAGTTGTATAATACCATAGTTTTATGTGACAACTGATAGTGCTGGAAGATCACCAGAAAGGTTAGTTTTGATTATCAAACTTTTATCAAGAACTTGAGGATATTTATTTCGAAATTTTTTCTATTTTATGCAGCCAAAGAGAAATGGATGTGAGTAATTTTTTGCAGTTGGCCTCTTGTAAATGTATAGGAAACTTAGTGTTGCAGCTGAGCAGTAAGATGTACAAAATTTGTAATATTTAGTTTGATAGCATCCTAGGCCTCACCGATTTTGTAGAAAATTACAGTTAAATCTAATAGACGTTGTAGTTCTTTTATGGAACATGAGATTTTGGATTGTTATAAATTTGAGTTATTTCATGTTGGGCACATTTTGGGAGAATTAGTTTATACACATAATGTAACATCTAAGCCACACACGTATCAAGATATTTCTGCCTTAAGCTATAAATTTGAGTTATTTCATGTTGGGCACATTTTGGGAGAATTAGTTTATACACATAATGTAACATCTAAGCCACACACGTATCAAGATATTTCTGCCTTAAGCTATAAATTTGAGTTATTTCATGTTGGGCACATTTTGGGAGAATTAGTTTATACAAGCTATGCTAGTTTATACACATAATGTAACATCTAAGCCACACACGTATCAAGATATTTCTGCCTTAAGCTATACCAAAGCAGGAGGACTTCCAGGGTCTCCCGTGGGACCATTTACACCTAACAGGCTTAATTATGGAGTTTTATGTGATATTTTGCCTCTTGTCTTTAAAATATGTCTTGGATATGGAGATGTACCACAACATTATAATGAATGCTTGGTTCCCTACTCTAGCAGATGTGGGAATGGTTTTATACTCATCAATATACGTGTTAACCAAGCACATAGTCAACCAACGGTGATGGCGCACTTAATGTTGTAACATTCTACTGTGGCCTAAAGCAGCAATTTAATGATACTAATTTGGAGTGATAAAAGGTTTACTTATACTTCTGGTTTATACATATTATTGCGATCATTGTTGAGTTTTGGAGTCACAAATGTAAATAAGATGTTATCTTTATTAAATGTTTAGTGGTTTATCACTATTATTGTTTACATATTTTGACATATAAAAATTTAACCCATCACAAAAAGTTATCAATAGTGACACTATTATTATTTTTATTATTTATAGTGTAGAATAATTTCTTTTTAAAATTAATTACACATTGCCTACCTTTCATTACTATGATAGATAGAAATATACAATATAATGTAATAAAAAAATTATTGTTTACCCAATAATAATTATAAAGTTATCACATCAAAATCAATATATATATATATATATATATATATATATATATATATATATTTTGTATTACATTAAAAAAAAATTTATTACATTATATTGTATATTTCTATCTTTATGCATCATATATAAAAAATTTGATGCATAAAGATAGAAATATAAAATATAATGTAATATATATATATATATATATATATATATAGGGTTAGGTTCATGTGAGACGGTTTAATTTTGTGAGACCGTGAGACGCATTTTTTTTTTTTAAATTTTTTTTAGTTAATTCAAGTTCCGAAAATAATATTTAAAAAAAGAATTTTTTTTTTTTTATTTTTCCATTTATTTTGCATTTTAAAATTATTTTTAGAATATGTACAGTGTAATATTCTATTTAGAATATTTCACGTATTTTTCAAAAAAATATGATTTTTTTTATTTTTTTTAGTTAATTCAAGTTCCGAAAATAATATTTAAAAAAAGAATTTTTAGATTTTTCCATTTATTTTGCATTTTAAAATTATTTTTTAGAATATGTCAGTGTAATATTCTATTTAGAATATTTCACGTATTTTTTTTTTTAAAAAAAAAAACGAGATTTTATTTATTTATTTATTTATTTTTATTATTTTAAATTTTTTTTTTAGTTAATTCAAGTTCCGAAAATAATATTTAAAAAAAGAATTTTTGGATTTTTCCATTTATTTTGCATTTTAAAATTATTTTTAGATTTGGTCTCACGGTCTCACAAAATTAACATGGTCTCAAATTAACCTGAACATATATATATATATATATATATATATATATATATATATATATATATATATATATATATATATATATATATATATATATATATATATGATGCATACAAATTTTTACAAACCAAATAAACTAGATTCTACCTTTTTTAAATAGGAGTACAGTATTTGCACTCTTTACCTAATTGTTGTACAATAACTTGGGCTACTTTTTTTGTTGGGCTGTCTTTTCTTGGGCTTTTCAATTTTATTATCAGCTTCAACTATATGTACATCCGGATCCTGATCCTGTAACAATAATAATGGTGTATGGGGAGCGGCCCATACACACAAACAGGTCGACGCATGTAAACAACGAGGACGCAAACAATAAGCCCAAATGCAATACATGTCGACAGTCAAAAAACAAATAAAATAAGTGCAAGCACACCAAATAACAATAAAATATTGTAAACAAATCTAAAGTATGGATCCTTAAGCAGTATCTTGGGAAACATGGAACAGACAAAATTATTTTATTGAAAGGTTTTAGCCTTGCAACCCCGGGACAATGGAAATACCCACTTAGAAAGGCAACAACATGGAATGGTTCGCAAGTATAAAAGGCACCAAATACGCATCAAGCATTAAGCACAATCTTCCTAACCCAACCAATTTTATCTATAGCTCCGATCAACATCTAACTTAGGCATCAGAGAGCAATACCGGGGTCCGTCCCTCGATATAGCTTTCTAACCTAGCCATTGTCTACCTTCTACAATGTGATTTCCCAAGTGCACCTTAGAAGAAGTCCTCAACGACTAACTAACAACGTATCTGGGAAACCACATAGCAACATTAGCGTTATTTGTATATAAGCATGCAAGATAAATAACATACCTCAAGCCCTCAATCTGACTCACCCTTTAGCCGCTAAACTTAATTCCAACATTTACACTAATTGCCATAACAACGCCATCCATTACTGTAATGTCCCAAAAATTCCAAGTAAAAATTTCATTTTAAATAAGTAAAAACCGTTCATTCATGGTTCCAAAAGACGATCAAAGTCAAAGTGTTATCAAAACATTATAGTAAAATCATAAACAACCAATGCGGAATAAATCTCCAAGGGATGCAGTACAATCAAGTCAGACCCTTCTTTTTGAAACTAGAAGTACCTGAAAACAATTTAATAATAAACCGTAAGCACAAAACTTAGTGAGTTCCCCCAAATTACCACATACAACACGTAGTTGTATCGGGTCCGTATCAACCCCGAGTCCATAATGAATCTGAGCCTAGATCATCTCCATCGGGTCCGTAATGAATCCGAGCCCAGATCGGCTCCATCGGGTTCATATCAACCCCAATTCCGTAATGACTCCGAGCCCAAATCGGTTCCATTGGGTCCGTATCAACCCCGAGTTCGTAGTGACTCTGAGCCCAAATTGGCTCCATGCATACAACATACAATCATACTAGAAATAGTCACATAGACACATGCATCCTACATACACAATTCAGTGGGCCGACATTGATGTATTCGACCTACGAGTATAGTGAGAAGACTCACTTGAACTACTCAACAAAAGCCCAATAGCTACCTCAGCAACAGAACGGCCAACCAAAACTTCCTAAAGCCAAACTAAAACCAATTCTTAGTCAAACACTCAATTCTACCCAAGTTTGACCAAAACCGGTTGAAAAGTCAATGTCCAAAGTCAACAATCAAATCAACTTAGATGACCCCTATGTCGTGGCAATTCCTTTGTCACATTGTGGTCATATCTAGACAAAATAGATGCGTTGAAGTGTGCCACCACGTCGTGGGCCTTCCTTGGCCATGTCGTGGTTATGTCGAAAAAGATTTTTCCTTTATTAAGAGCTTAATCCTTTAAAGACCAAAACTCATATCATATCTGAATTGATATAATATTTAGATGGATAAAGTTCCAACTTTATCCATAACAATTTCACAATCTTTCAAGATCTAAACTTTAATACACCAAAATGACCTAAAGGACCATGATAACTTGCATGGCTAAAAGGGAAGACAAAAGATCATAACTTTCCTAGTCCGTGAGGTCGAAGAAGCATTCCTAGTTGATCAAAAGATGTTGGAGTCCACTCAAATCCAAGATCATCATAAAATGGACCAAAAGTGCCAAAAACCACAAATAAAGAGATCTAAATAAATAAAGAGCAAGATAAGAACTTTATACTCACAATACAACATAAATTAAGTAACTTTGATGGATCTAAACTTGCAACAACATTCCTTGCAACCAAAAGAACCTTCTTGATCTTCATGCTTCATCAAAACACCACTAAAAGTATGGGATGGAACACGAGTACAAAAATTAGGAGGGCCAAAAACTCAAGACTTCCAATAATGTCACGACCATACTCATTTATTTAAATAAATCCGCCTACTAGCAAACTAGAAAATAATCTAACCTTTCCCAAATCAAAATATCACGACTAATTTTCAATAATAATAAACTAAAAAGAAATATAATCATCTTAAAATAGATTAATATACCATATTTTATAATAGTTTTTTTATTGGTTATTTGTTTAAATAAGTCATCTTAAAATAATCTAACCTTTCCCAAATCCATCGGTGTATTCTTGTCGCTAATTGTTTCTAACAGGTTCGCGATGGCTACGACAAAGTATAATGACACATTTTTCCGTCGGCAATTAGTAACCAATCACCGACGGAAATATTTTTGCAACAAATTACCGACGGAATCTGTTTTCAACAAATTATCAACGAAATAACTCAATAACGAATTACCGACAGATTATACAAGATTTTTAAAAAATCATACATTTGTAAAAACTTCAACTATATAGGTGTTTCGGTGCAACGCGTGGGCATTTGTCTAGTTTACTATAAAACATTAATCTTTTGGGAAGACATGCATACAAATCATATACAAATTTCAAAAAGAAAACAAACTTAAAGGTTTTGTGTTGGGTTGAGGTCTTATGACCACTTTTGGAGATATGTTATTATATTAGAACTTTTAATTTGTAAGTTTGTTATACTAATTCGTTTTTATATTTTCTTTGTTTTTTTATTATTGTAATACACTTTTGGAAATATGCTATTATATTAGAGCTTTTAATTTGTAAGTTTGTTATACTAATTCGTTTTTATATTTTCTTCGTTTTTGGATTATTGTAATACAGTCGTTGTATATTGTGGTTTAATCGTTAATATATTGATCATATGTTATATAAGGTGATACGAAAATATTTAATTAAATATTTTGAATGTGTTTTTTTTTGTTTTGTAATTGTACCGTTGCAAAAAAATAATTAATTAAAACTCATACATATGTTATACTTTCCATCCCTATCTCTCTCTCTCTCTGTGTATATATATATATATATATATATATATATATATATATATATATATATATTTATCGTTAGTATAATTAGAAAATGACTAGTTTTGTTTTTAGATAACGTATCTGTTTGTAACGAATTTTAATACTTGCTCTTATGAATCGTCTAACATCATGAATATGATTATTGTTTAAAATTGTGCCTTGATTATTAAGTTTATAAGAATCTTTAAGATTTTGCTCAGAGTTATTAATAGATTCTTGGATTTGCTGTATTTTTAAAAGAATATTTCTATTAGGAATACAATTCATCAAAATTTTGCTAGACATAATTAAATGATCTAACCATGAATTTGATTAATTTGATTATTAAAAACGAGTACTATTTTAACAAAAATTTCAAATCTTGTAGAATTAATAGTTAGAATAACTTGAAATGAAATTATCATAAAAATAACACAACGATAGAATATTTTAGATAATACCTTCTTGAATTAGGCTTGAATTACAATCAGTACATACTTCTGGAGAAAGAATTATTTGAAAATCTAAAGACTTTGAACATCTACTAGTAGAAAGAGAGACTCTTGGAGATTTTTTAGACATTGGATGAACATTTTTTAGAGAATGAATTTTTTCTTGTTCTCTTCAACTAAAGGATAGCCTCTATTTATAATCATCTTGGAGTCTTCAAAGTCTTGAAATCATCTTGTGATAAATTTTGCCGTAAGAATCCATGGCCAATCAATAATTATTTGCAAGTGGTTGTCCTTGAAAGTGGTTGTCATTCATCTTTTGAAACAATTGTCGTTTGTAATCAATAACCATCTTCTTTTGATAAAGCAAGCCATTATAGAGCATCTTCTAAAGTTTTTTTTGTCTTCATATCATCATTGATTATAGATTTGATAATAATTTTGATAAAAATTGTTTATACATAAATACATGAATACCTACATAGTATACATGTATTCGTACTTGAAAAACGAAATTTTGATAATAGAGAAAACAAAATATCTTACATTTAAAGTATTACATCAAATTTATGGATAATGATTTCTTATTCTTCATAAGGATCATCAAAAGGGTCTTGAGCGTCTTCAAATAAATCATTCTTTATAGATTTTGGAGAATCGTCAGAAACTGATGGAGTTTGGCGAATTTCTTGAAGTAATTTTTGAAGTTCTTGAGGAGAAGAGGTAGCAGCATCTTTAATTCTTGCAATTAGATCCACATCACTTTTGGGAAGACTGTTGATAAAAGTGGCTTCGACTTCTGGTTTTTGAATATATATTTCTTGATAATGTTTAATCTAGGTTCAAATGTTTTTAGCAACTATTGTGTGCCTAAATGCACCAATGAGAATTCAAGAAATAATAAATAATTAAATAAATCATTAAAGGGTATTTTGGACCTTTTGTACTTTTATTTAGGGAAATTATTTAATTGAAATTATTCAATTAAGGAAATAAACTAATCATTCAATTAAGGAATTAAAATAAATATATTTGACCTAGATATGCTTGCGGCCGAACACTTCATCATCGACATCAACACCATCACTATCACCGATTCTACTTCTTCTACAATCAACGGATCCAAAGGGGAGCACATACTCTCGTCTCGCAATCAATGATGGATTCTAGGGTCGATGAGGCTGAAGAAGGGGATGCGAAGGAGCAATGGCGCTGTTGTGGGGTCTATGAACACGAATGAGAAGCGAGAAACGGTGAGGAAATCCCTATGATTGCAGGTACTTGGATGGAGGTATCCTCCGGCAGCCTCCTGTTCTTCTTTCTTTGATCCGTTAATCCAACAATTAGGGGATTATTTACCTCAATCGAGATTGATTTTATCTCGATTTTTTTTCAAGATCGATATTGTGTTTATCATCTTATTAAATTCGATATCTTCAATGGTTTATTTTTGCACTTCACAGGCACAAGTTGGATTTTGTTTCGAAAAAGTCAAAATTGGTGTTCATATTTCTAAATCGATAATGTAAATGTGTGTTTGTTTCTTGAATTCATAACTGGGAATGAATGCATGTGTGTTGATGATTCAATCACAGCTATTGAATTCTATATACAATCACAGTTCTTGAATTATGTAATGTATTCTATTAGAATTTATTTTATATAAATGTATTCTATTAGAATGTTTGAGAATAATTGTCAACAACAAGTACATTCTGTTAGAATTTATAGTTTTTATTCTCTTAGAATGCATTGAATTTTTTAATTTTTGAATCTTGATTATGTTTTCTTTGTGGATTTAGGTTTTGAAGAGACTAACATTGATATGGAGAAGGAAGAAAACATAGAGAATGAGAGTGTATTATACCAGAATGTGGTATGTTACAATGTATAATATTCTATCAGAATAGATTAGTGTTTTTGTTAGATTGTGATGTTTTTTTTTTTTTTCTTTTTTCTTTCAGAATGTTGTTATTATTCAATGAATCACAATCATACAATGTAATTATTTGGTATATTGTTAGTTCAAGAATTGATTTTGTGTATTCTTTTTAGAATGTATTTACTAGTTTATCGTTGGCATTCTATCATTCTGACAGAATAAAATTGAAAAATATATTTACTACTTTATGGTTAACATTCTAACATTCTGACAGAATAAAATCAAATTTTTAATTTTGAATTATTTTAAAATATTCAGATTTTTAAAAATAAAGGAATTAATTATCCCTAAAAATCTGAAAATTTCCTTTTTTTAATATAGGTTAATTGACTAAAATGCCCTTATGCTGAAATTTGTGTGATTATATGGTATATGTTATCCAATTCTACTATCATAGACCCTCAGATCATGACCTTTGCTTATATTCCATCCGATGGTCCAGATCTGTGCATTCTGGCACACAATAGTTACTAAAAACAAAATAACATAACCTTATATATATATATATATATATATATATATATATATATATATATATATATATATATATATATATATATATATATATATATATTATAGTGGTCAAAACATTTCAACTAAAATTCATTGAAAATCTAATATTTAAAATGTTTTTTAATAATGATTGTAAAAGTTTCAACATGTGTTACTTACTTGATTGATTAATAAAAATATTAATGTTTTGAAACTCCTAAATCTTAAACTTATATTATTTATTTTGTTAGTTAACTAAAATCTTTTTCCTACATAAAGATAACATTTTTATGTTTGCTTACTTATATTTATTTATGTAATTAGAAAACAATGTGTACATAGAATGACTACTTCAATTTCACATACAGGAATCGATACCACCACATATATATATATATATATATATATATATATATATATATATATATATATATATATATATATATATATATATATATATATTCATTCATTCAGTTGTTGGGACCGTTTCGCATTGAAGCAGTCCAGCGGTTTCATTTTACCCAGAGAGTTCATTTTACCCAGAGAGTTCGGAGATTTTCAAACTGATTCCCACAACTCTCACCTCCTAAGATATCGGCACCTAAGTAAAAGGTTGTTAGTTGTTACGAGTTACAAGGTCGACTGCTATTTACGTCCTCTCTCTCGCTCTCTGAAATGTAAGCAAACAATTCCTTCGTGCCTGGGGAATTTATCAAAATTGTTTCTAGAGCTTAAGAAATCAGTGAATTCGAATGGCGTTGTTTCGAAATAAGATGCTGCCCGATGGAATTGTCGATGTCTTTGAAACTGAAAGAATATACGGTAATTATTTACCCTTCTATGAAGTAATTTGTTTGATATGCGTATCTAATTATGTATGTAGTACGACTGCCTTTTCTGTTAAAACTTTTCTCTCCTTTTTTGTAATCATTACTTCACTTCTATGAGTTCTATCTAGTTTTAGATGCTACTTCTATCGTTCAGCTTTACTCTTCAAATTAGTGTCGGATTATGAAACTGTGGTATTATATTGAAGTGTGACTATTTGGACAAACTTAGTAACTGAAAGTGGTCTTGTATTGGGAAAACTTCTCAAGGTCATCATCTATCCTATTATAATGTTTGTGTCTTAAACTTATGACATTAAATTTCTAGTAGATTAGAGGCGAGCATCATGTGTGTACAACTCGTTTTTGTAATGTGTGTTCAATTTCTTTGTAAGTTTGAATAGAAATTGTTTCTTTTTTATTTGATGACACGCCCATCTGGTGTATAGTCTTTGACTCCTGTTTCAGAATTAAAACTTGGGAACAAGAAGAATACAAAGGCTACGTGGGCAGAATCATAACTCAATTTAAAGAAACATACCCTAAATCTTCACCCATGATTATGAATTTCCCGGAAGGAAATACAACAAACAAACTCCACCGACTTTTATCAGAACACTATCTTACTATAATGGACTACCCTCGGGACTATGAAGGTCGCCCTGTGTTGACAATAGAGGTGATCCACCATTTTCTTAAATCAAGTGAAAGCTGGCTCTCACTTGGACAAGAAAAAGTTATTCTAATGCATAGTGAACTTGGTGGTTGGCCTGTGTTGTCTTTCATGTTGGCTGCTCTTTTACTTGACAGAAAACATTTCACATCTGAAAGTAGGGCCCTTGAGATGGTTCTGAAACAGGCCCCATCTGAGAAGTTACCTCTGATGACAAGTTTGGATCCTACAGCTTCTCAGTTGAGGTACTTACAGTATGTGTCAAAGAGGAATGCTGATGAACAACATTGGCCTCCACCAGACAAAGCACTTAAAATAGATTGTGTGATACTCAGAATGATTCCTGATTTTGATGGAAAAGGAGGTTGTTGCCCTGTATTTAGAATTTATGGATGCGATCCGTTGCTACAAATTGATAAAACCTGTAAACTTTTATTCTCTACCCCAAGGAGGAGTAAGAATGTCCGGTCTTACAATCAGGTAGGATATATCACTATAATGTTTAATTCTAGGTTTACGTTTCTTATTCTGATAGATTATAATTTCCATGCATTTCAGGCAGAAAATGAGCTCGTTAAAATTGATATTAATTGCCATATTCAAGGTGACATTGTGTTGGAGTGTATTAACTTAACTGATGATCTGGTGAATGAGACGATTATGTATCGTACCATGTTCAACACTGCATTCCTCAAATCAAATACTTTGATGCTGAATCGTGAGGAAGTCGATATCTCTTGGGATAAAAAGGATCAATTTCCAAAGGACTTCAAAGCTGAGGTACTTTTCTTCATGTTACTCCTAGTCACACGACATACTATTTTTTAGGATTAATGAGATTAATGGGTAACAAACCATCTGAAATCTTTTCAGTAAGTTACTTAAGTTGTGTTCAATAGATCACTAAACATCATAAATAACTTCATTGATCCTTTTTTCTAGCTAATATCCCAAAAAAAAAAAATTTCATATTTCTTTTCATGCATACTACTTGGATGAAGCTTCTCTTCTCCGAAATGGACGCTGAAGCTTCTAAGGTCCCAGTAGATATGTCTCGTTTTGAAGAAGCGGGGGTCCCGGTAGAAGCATTTGGTAATGTTCAAGAAATGTTTAGCAGTGTGGATTGGCATGTTCCTCCACCACCTTCTCCTCGTGGTGGTGGAGAAGGACTACAACCACTTAAACCACCAAAACCACAAGCACCAGCACCAGCACCAACACCACCACCACCACATAAATCAGGTCCTTCACCACCATCAGCACCACCCCCACCCAAAGCTAACCCAGCGCCACCACCACCACCACATAAATCAGTTCCACCATCACCGCCTACTCCATTTAATAGAATCAAAGAAGCGGGTGCAGGTCCACCACCTCCACCACCAGCTTCAAAAGGAGGCGGTGTAACTGCTCCATCTCCACCACCTCCTATAAATAAACCGTGTGTTTTATCAATAACATCTGCAGTGAAAGCTCAACCAGCAAAAAAGCTGAAGCCTTTACATTGGTCAAAAATAAATAGAGTAGGACAAGGAAGCTTGTGGGCTGAAGCAGAAAAATCTGGTGAAGCTGCAAGGTGTTTTTTTTTTTTTTTTTTTTTTTTGACATATTGACATTGATCCCTTACTAAGTTTTTCTTGCATAATTTCTCATTAGGGCACCAGAGATTGATATGTCAGAACTTGAAACACTCTTGTTAGCATCAAATCCGAATTCTGACAAGGCATCAAAAGCAAAATCCAAAGCATCTAGTGAACCCGAAAAAGTACAACTGGTAATAAATTTTTTTTTTTCCTTGTTTACTGCATGTGAAATCTTTAACTGTACTTATGGCTGACTTCATACATCTTTGTATGGAAGATTTGTTGATATTTCACACTTGTTGCAGATTGAGCATAGCCGGGCATCTTACTGTGAACTCATGCTTTCAAAGGTGAAGATACCATTGCCTGATTTGATGGTAAGCTGAAAACATTATGCATTTAATCACAAATTACGTTTTCTGATAAATTTTTTTAATGCTTTTGTATGGTGTGAAACTTAACAGGAGCATGTCCTTAATCTGGATGAATTAGCAATGGATGTCGATCAGGTGGATAAGCTTATAAAGCTCTGTCCTACAAAGGAGGAGATGGAACTACTTAAGGTGTATTTATAATTTCCATTTCACATTGTATACCACATGTTGTTTTTTTCATAGTATAACTTACATTTTATATGCATAGGGCTATAAAGGAGAACCTGAAATGTTGGGCAAATGTGAACAGGTACATAGTACCATATTTCTGGATTTATGTCAATAAATTCAGGGACCAAAAAGTGAAATACTAATATCTGATTTCTTGTAACAGTTCTTCTTAGAGCTAATGAAAGTTCCATGTTCGGAAGCAAAACTCGTAGTTTTTTCATATAAGATACAATTTAGAGAACAGGTCAGGAGATATTATTCTTTTCCTTTCCTGCTTTCTTATGTTTACCTTATTCTAACTTTACTGTCCTTTTTACAAATTTAGGTTTCAGAACTTAGGGATAGCCTAAACATTTTATATTTATCAGTAGAACAGGCAAGTTATTAGTTATCTGTCACTTTAATTATGCAGTTATTTAGTGACAATAAGATTGGATTAAATTTTACTTTTTTTATACATGTTGATGGTGGTTATATCAGCTTATTAGTTCTTTAAAGTTGAGGAGAGTCATACAGACAATTCTTTCTCTTGTGAATGCTTTCAACCAAGGAACTACAAGAGGTTAGTTACTCCGATTAGTTTTATTTTATTTATTTTATAGTAAATTACACGAATCATCCCCTTCTCCCTCTTTCTCACCATTCCCGAACAACCACCCAAAACCCTATCAAGATCCTAGATCAGAAGCGGTCCTCCTCCTTCTTCTCTTTTCCAACTGGCGGCTAACCCAGGAAACAAATATTTTACTTCTAGGGTTCAGATCTGCGATCTAGGGTACGACAACAACAACCCTTTTTTACACTCCAGCAACAAAGTGTGTAGTTACAAAAGCACGCAGATCAGAAGCTGACTCAAAAATAGAGACTAAACGTGCAATTTGACACTTGGACCAGGGACATTTGTGTAATTTACTCTTTATTTTATTTGAAGTTACATAATTATTTTTGGTTTTAGGTGCTGCGGTTGGGTTCAGATTGGGCAGCCTCTTAAAACTTAATGAAACATGTGCCAAGAGCAGTAAAATGACTCTCATGCATTATCTTTGTAAGGTAAGACTTTTTATTTATTTGCTTGTGTTTCTTTCACTTTGTTTATGGTACATATCTTTGCTGTATGTGTTAGGTGCTTGCAGACAAACTACCTGAACTCCTAGACTTTTCCAAGGAACTTGGCAGCTTGGAGCATGCATCAAAGGTTTTGTGAAATTCATGTACATTTATTTATTTTAATTAAAGTTGTTTTTTTTTTTTGATTAAAATGATATTTTTATTTCAGATACAGATAAAAATCATGGCAGAAGAGATGCAAATGATTGAAATAGGATTAGGGAAAATAGTCCAAGAAAAGAAATTGTGTAAAAAAGATGGACATATGTTTAAACCTTATCGGAAGGTATGCACATAAAGTTGATAAGAGCCATAAATGGAATCAGTCAAAGGAATTATAATTTGAGGGAATTGGAATAGCAAGGAATTCAATGGAATGGAATTCAATGATAAAAAATTAAAAATTTATTATATTTTGCATTTTTACTTAAAATATAGTTTTTTATATAAATATATGGAATTGGATCCGTGGAATTGTATTCCATCTATTTGGCAACCAAACATGTCATGCAATCTTCTTATTTTTCCTTCTAATTTATTTTTTTATAAAATTTTTCTTAATAAATAGTTAGATGTTATATTTATAAAATAAATAAATAAAATATGCTCAGATATTTATATGTATATTTCTTATTTTATTTTTTATAAAAAAGTTGGGTTGGATTTGGTTGTGAATGAGAGTCTTACTTTAACTTTAACGTTTGGTTTTCCATGTTCAGTCTCTGAAAAAGTTTCTTGCTTCTGCGGAACCTGAAGTGAAGAGCCTGGCTTCACATTTCTCAAAGTTGGTAGGTATAAAAAAATCCTGTAAATATAAATATCGCTACAAGTATCCCAGTTTTTAACATTGCACTTTACACAGAGTAAAAGTGTGGATGCTTTAGTTATTTACTTTGGAGAAGACCCTAAAGAATGCCTGTATGAAACAGGTAATCAATCATCAGAACAATTTAGGTTCATGATAAAGTATTCATTTGTAATAAATAGATTTCAAGTTTCTAAGTTGTGATATTGTTTTCAGTTGTTGAAACTTTGCTTAAGTTTGTGAAAATGTTTAATCAAGCCCATGCTGAAAACTGCAAGCAAATAGAGGCGGAGAAGATTGCAGAAAAGAAGGCGGCACAGAAAGCAGCCGAACAAAAAAGATTAGAGGCAGATGAAAAAAGAAAGTCAAAAGTACAAAATAATTCAAAAATGGAGTCAGAATCAATAAGAAATAAAATGGCTATAGAAAGTGCCGAATGCTTTTTTTGCTTTTTCCCTTTCTATATAATTAAAAATTGGTGTGGAAAAATAGAAGCAGCTTTCTTGTTGCAGCTGCTAGTGTGTGTGTTCCATCCTTCTTTGATGAAAAAAATGGTAATGATCTGTTGATTGATGAAGAAGAAGGGTTCGCATGGTGAGTTTCTGCAGTATGATGTTTTTTTGTTGCAACTGATACTGCTGGAGGATCCGCAGAGTGAAGGTTAGTCATGATTATCAAACTTCTATGAAGAATTCAAGAAGATTTTATTTCGATTTTTTTCCATTTAATTTTATGATGAATTTAACGTATTAGTGCTGTGCAACTGACAGCAAGACGATTTTTTTTTTTTTTTTTTTTTTGTAATAATTTAGTGTGATAGCATCCTAGCTAGGTCTCACTGATTTTGCAGAAAACTGCAGTTAAATCACTTAGATTTTGTAGTTCTTTTATGGAACATGATATTTCGGATTAATTATAGAGTTATTTATTTTTTTAGATTTTTTGAAATTTGAGTTATTTATTTTGCGCGCATTGGGTTATCTATGAATCTGAGGCACATCTGTGTACTTTTTTTTTTCTTGGGGAACTAGTTTCTACACGTTATGTTAGTTTATACACATGATGTAACATCGACTACCTCTTGCTTTTAAAATGTGTCTTTGTTCCCCACTTTAGCTGATGTGGGAATGGTTCTACACTCTCATCCACCCCCATACAGAACCCAACATTCTCGCTAACACACTTAATGATACCAATTTTGTAACATTCTATTCTTTTGCTTTAAAGTAGCAACTTTTAAAAAGTTTTTAGTATCATCAATATACATGTTAACCAAGTACATTGTCAAATAGTTGCGATTGTGAAAAAGAGCGATTGTTGGAAAAGTAATAGAAGTATAAACTATCATGCTAGTATCAAACAAATAGAACTTAAGTATGATATATGTTTTAATGTCTTAGATGCATTTATTAACATATTGTCGGTTTTAGGCCACTCGCCATGAAGACTTCCTAGGGTTCAATACATCTAGCACTACTCTCACCTCATGAGCATGATTAATTGTTGAATTCTTATGGGATCCGTTGTGAACATTATATTAGCTAAATTGTGGCAAAGCTTTGACTAAGGCTGTCTTTTTTCGTTTCTTTTTTGCCACGTTGTGGATGCCAATACATTTCTATTTCAATGACCGCATCCCCTTATGAGACATCAAAGATCTTGAGGACATGATGATTGAATATTATTAGCAATTGTACACATATTTGTTAGTCGTATATATATGTATGTAAGTATCATGAAGTGCATAATGAAATTGGCCTCAGTTATAACTAGTATTCTGAAAAATGTGAAATCTTGGGTATTTTGGTTTTGTATGTGCAAAGGTTTCTTATCCTCTTATTGTTAGACTTCTAATATTATAAATTTCCTAAAATGGGTGAGTTTAGCATATAGTCTAAGTTGAGGGATCATTTGGGTACAAGTGGGATAATTATGAGTGTCTTAAACCTATAGGGTTTAGTAAGTCATTTCGGAGAAGAAAAGAAGGAAGTCTCTATTTATAAATCCAATCTTGAATTTGAGGTGCTATGATTGTTTATGGTTGATATTGTGCACCAATTCCATTCAAGCTACCATCTCAACCATCTAATTAAGGTATCCTTTTACTTTTGCAGTTATGATTTGAAGGTTTGAGCTCCATCAACAAAGGATCACCCCGATTTATCTGCCTAATTCAAAATTGATGGACTATTTGATAATCGGTGGTGTTTAGATATGGATTCTACTGTTTTGTATCCATTTTATTGAAGAAATCCAAAATGGTTATTTATATGAATTAAGAGCTTGGATTAATGAATATGATTGTTATCAATTAATCTATTAATTAATCTTAAAAGTCATGTTAACAAGAATAAATTTATATGTTTAAACAATGATTTGAACTCAATGAATCCACTCTAGGTCATTAATAATCATTATACAAGTTTTAGAATAAAGTTGTTAGAAACCAACAGGAAACTTTTTAGTTTTTGCAAGTTTTTATTGCCCGTGACCCATTAAACGGTCATGTAAACTGATGAGCTAGCTTTGACAGTAGAAAACTATTATCGTTGTGGATACCAACACATTTCTAGTAGTGTTATAAGTTGACCGAATCCCCTAAAAAATATCATCACGTGGATTACCGGACACATTTCATTGTCGCAAAAACATTTGCATTTTTTCTTGCATTTGCTCTTGTAGTTGTTGTATGTTCAAAATTCCTCACACAACCTTATAACCTAAAAAATGGTTAAGAAATTCAATGCCAAACCCATAATAGCAATGTAGTTTAGTTTATTATAAGAACATAATAGTAATTTACTTTAGTGTATTATAAGAACATGATACCAATGTATTTTAGTTTATTATATAAATATACTTTAGTTTATAATTTTAGCAATATACTTAACTCGCTAGTACAAAATTGGGTTTGGTCAATGCAAAAAAACCATCATCATAGACATTTTATGTTGTTTTTTTCATCCAATGTGTTAGGAAAGGTCGATTCATTAATGATACGTTATGGGGGGTATGGTGATAATGGGTCCCTTATACGACACATTTCGTTTAATTGTGGTGAGTATACCTCATGAAAACTCGTTATAGGTCAAACTCGTCATTATATGGTAAGAAATTTTGGACATGTATTTGTCTTATTTTGATAACCGTCATTAATAATAAACTTATAGTCACTTTTAATTTATTTTATGACTATTGTGCACATTTACTCACTCACAAGCAATTAAACGGTAACAATAAAATAGTTATAGTCATGTTTTATTTCTTTTATTATGACTATTGTACTGACATGTTTAGTATTATATCGTGATTTTTTTTTTTTGTACATTTACTCACTTAGAAGCAATTAAACTGTAACGTCCCAAAAATTGTAACTTTTTAAAACAACATAGGTTTAACTAAAAATCATAACTTTTATTAAACGATGTTTCAAAACCGATCCCCAAGATCAAAGTAATACAAAAAGACCCATATTAAATTTATAAGTTTTAAAATAAAAAGAAAACATAATCCAACATATTATCAAAATCTTTTTCCCTCCCACTCAAGCCATTGTATACCATCACGCTCTTCTATGTCAATCGTGGAATAGTAAATTAAGCATAAAGCTTACTGAATTTCACACATACATAGTATAATCTCATACAAGCTCTTTCGCTAACATACATGCATTACCCACAGTAACTACACATCCACACATGTAAGTTAAAAACATATAAAAAAAACAACAATAAAACCATTGGGACACATCAGCTACATCTGATCCCCCTTACTTAGTGCGTCAAGCCCTTAGGACACAAAAGCTATGCCCGATCCCCCACTCAGTATGTCGATCCCTTTTATATGTATTCATCAGTATTTTGAGCGAATACCACACGCCCACTACACACTAACCCAACCTAGTGCTACCCGCATATGCATCCTACAATCACACTCGAGCTAAAGTAAATTGAAGGATACACAACATCACACAATGTAGTGAGAAACTGACATTGAGTTGCAGAGTATACTTCAAATACTATCCTAGGAATCCAATCACACAGTCACTTTGAAACACTATTATAATAAAAAAACAAGATTAAAAAATGGCTATTCTTAATCCTAAACATATAGAAAAACTACTAGACTTATTTTCCATGTTTTGATCAGAAACAACAGTTGGTTTCAAGACAACTTTAACACCACTAAAGCCTGCCAAAATCACCGGTTCTCATAGACCTAGGCATAAACAATCAAATAAAAATAACCAATTTTCTCAAAAATGGCACCAAAACTTGGTGGGATGTCAATTCCACCAAGAAAATTATACCCTTTTGGTTATAATCTAGTAGTAAAAAGGGGATCGAACCATGGGGAAATGGTTGTATTTAATCACCAGTGTAATCTAATTGAGCAATTGAAATAATACTAACTAATTACAATGAAACTAAATGGGGGGTTTTGTGAAGTGTTTGAAAACTAAAAGACTTGAATAACTAAAAGGCTTACAATTAAGCAAGATGGTCGGATGCTCAAATATTTGAGAAATTTGGTCAACCAAGGGAATTCAACACCATGAATATTTGTTTGTCTATCATTAGGATTCAATATGTAAGCTTATCATTCATCCTAAATTGGTTAAAGTAATCTTCAAGCATGATATGCCAAAATTCCTCCAAGCTAGTATGGAAATTGAGGAAGCCCACAACACACCCTCTTAATCATAATCAAGAACCCAATTGAACCAATTAAACTCAAGAGAATTGATTAGCCTAAAGTATGAAGGAATTCCCAATTCCTGGAGGATGTCAATGCTTACACATCCATAAAGGAGTCATGATCCATAAGCCAGAGATGATTTATACCATTATAAAGCCCTTGTTTTAAGAAAAATCATTGATTCAATGCTAAACCAAAGAAAAAAACATACAATTGATCATCAAGTACCAAGCTCATGATCAAAGTATTAAACAAGCACAAGAACTATGAACTAGAATCATAAATATGAGATAAATGATAACCAGAACATGAATCCTTCAAAACTCACAAATATCCAAGGTTTCAGACTAAGTTAAACAAAATAAAGAAATTGGCCACTCATGGTAACAAGACAACAATCACAAAAGTATTCTAGCATCAGGAGATTAACAATTACTAGAATAATGAGAAGAATGTAGATTTAGATCTCAAAAATCGTATCCAAGGTGCTCCAATGGTGGAAAAATCGAAGTATGGCTGCCAAACTTAACCCTAAGTTAAATGATGAGCCAAATGACAAAAATGCTGCTAATTATGAAGTTGTGCGGGTACCCTCGCAAACTTGCGTAGGTGAGACCCCACTCTTGCAAATGGTGTTGAAACACTATTGACACTTTTTCTCCACTACTCCACCCCACTACTTAAGATTCCATTGGTCTTATCCACACCTCACATGATTCAAATTTAACCAATCATCTTCAAACTTCAAATGGATCGTCCAAGCCTAATACCAAGAGTCCATGAGCCATCTTCATAATCCCACTTCATCCACATCTTCAATGGTTGTTGACCCTATATCGAAGGGTCTAGGTTCCATACTAGGGTGGTGTGCGCTAGGTTTTGATGGATGAGTCTCACAAGTCGAGGTTCTCCATCCATCTCGGGGGCGACCAAGATGTATCGGGATCTTCGCCCTGATTATTGGTGGTCCTACATGAAGCGAGACATAGCATGGTATGTGGAGCAATGCTTGATTTGCAGGAAAGTCAAGGCCGAGAACCAATAGCCTCACGACAAGATGCAACCACTGAATATTCCCGTGTGGAAATTGAAAGACATCACCATGGATTTTATCATGAAGCTTCCTAGGACTAGACGTGGAGTAGAGTCCATTTGGGTCATCATGAATTGGTTGATCAAAAGTTTTCATTTCATCCCGATCCAGGAGAGTATATTGACCGAGAAGCTAGCTGAGATCTATGTCCGCGAGGTGGTGGCACGTCACGGAGTGTCGGTTTGTGTCAGATCGAGATGTTATCTTCACTTCCAGGTTTTGGAAGCGATTTCATGATGAGATGGGTAGTCGTCTTCACATCAGCATTACTTTTCATCCTCAGACTGATAGGCAGAGTGAGCGGACGATCCAGTCTCTCGATGATATGTTGCGCGCAAGTGTATTGGATTTCGACGGTAGTTGGGATAAGCACTTTCCATTAGCGAAATTTTAGTATAACATGTCACACCCCGACCCGCGGCGGAAATCGCCGGGGTTGCGACGTTATACAATTAGATCACAGTCAACCACATATATCAAACACTTAATATATTTAAATCAATATATTACAAACCTTAAAGTGTTGGAATTGAAATTACACATTCATAGTTTAAACACACAACAGTAAATAAAAACAGTTCAAGATTATTCCCAAAAGAAAGGAACTATAATTTCCTTAGAACCGATGTCCTACCTCCGACTCCTTAGTTACCTGAGAATACACATTTTTTAAAATACCTCAACAAAATTTGTTGGTGAGTTGCACAGGTTTTGACTCCGTGAGTTTCATAAAAAGAAATCTTTATAAAACGTGGAATGTTTAACAAAATAAGTTGTGCAAAACATGGTCAATAATATTACCGATATGCTTCGTGTGAGAACCGATACTTGAAATCTATTATGAGTACCCATGTTACTTACTTACAATAAAAGTAAATTTTAACATATTTTTGAGAAGCAAAATATTTAGTGTTTGTATAGATAGAGACTACCAATCGTTTTAACAATCTACAAACAATATTCATACTACATGCAACCTCATCCCAATGTATCTTAGTATATTTATTTCCGGGACTTTGTTATAATTCCCGATTGTTTGGATTTAAAAACTTTTTGTTGTAATGCTTAAAAATGTAAAACTACCAAAGTTCTAACAGGGCAACGGTCATATGTGTCCCTAAACGAGTTTAAACAGTACGTCGACTGTAAGTGACCATATATATGTTTAGACAGTACTCCGACTGTAAGTGAATAACAAAGTTTATACAGCACCCCGGTTGTGAGAGACCAAAATCGACATAGTCCAAATCATCATATCTTATGAGGTTTTCAACATGATCATATTAGAAATACTTGTTATAATTTACACTTTTGTAACTATTGAAGTATGTGTGAACTAAACAATATCATAATTGGTGTACTTCTTATTTACCACAACACTTTGTATATATATTTGAAAGTCCAAACAACAAGAGAAATCAAAAGGGCAATTCTGTCCATGTTTTTAGAAAAATCATCGTAAGTCGAAATCAAGATCCGTAAACTCTCTAAGTTTAGAAAATTAGTCTAATTTGTCCATAATTTTTACCCTGACCTTAAGTGGTTCCTAACCTGAGTGAAAATGTTCATTTTTACAGACAAGTCCAAAAATGTTCTAAAATGATAGACAGTTTTATAAAAATCATTATAAATTGTAGAAAAATCGTATGAATGTGTGCAAGTAGTCCTTGGCAAGGTATAAACCTGAACTATTTTCAAATTGTACAGTTTCGAAATCCATTGAGTTTAATGAGGGCAAAACAGTTCGTGAACAGACCATAACTTTACTGTGAAAAGCTGAAATTTGAGCTTAGATATGTTTAGTGACATAACTTGCATTCTTAGTTAGCAAAGCCTTTAAATCTTTCAACTATAATTTGTTTAGTGTGTATTCTCCCCCCAAAACTTGTAAAACATAAAAGAGGGGCCGTAGAAAACTCACTTTAGTTGCGTGTCGTTATCGGGTTCAAAGATGTCGAGATGTTCCCGGTTTCTCGAAGGCTTGTGACGGAAGTATTCTTTGGGAGGACTTTGTTCTAATGCTATCACAAACGATTGTTATATCATGAGTTGAACACCATCTTTCTAGGCATCATGGAAGAGGTTGTCATGGGATCTATGTCACTCGAAAATGGCTTTCAAATCGGTTGTTATGATCTCGAAAAATGGCAGCAACAGGAAGGTTTTCAGGAGCTTATTTGGTACCTGGAATTCAGCAACTATTTGTGTGTGTAGGTTCTCGAAAATTTCAGCAAGAACATAATAAAAAGAAGAGTTTTGAGGAAGTTTTGTTGACTTCAAACATAGAAGTAACAGGAAACATGTTTAAGCGGTATTTTTGGAATAAAAATGGGTTGAAGACAGGTGCTAAATGCTGTGACAGGAAGCTAGAAAAAGAGGAGCTAGCAGCTCCATTTCTTCCGCTGTTTTTTGTTTTTGATGGTTTTCGTGGAGAGGGGAGGGCTGTAGGAAGGTTGTTTTTTTTTCTGGTATGATTTTGAAAGAAAGGAGTGATTTTTTTGTAGTAAAATGATAGTGAAATGGAGAGGAGGGTGTCGATGTATTTATGGATGGAGGAAAAAATGAGATAGATGCAAATCTCACAAGATAATAGTAAGCATATTGATTTGATTTAGCTCCTGCAAGTGGTTGAGTATTTCCATCAAGTTAGAAGTTAGTTACCTTATTTCCATTTAGTTTTGAGGGGGAGGGAAGTGGGTGACGAGATTTGAGAGGGAATGAAACTAGATTTTGTTTGGGTTAATTTATTTAATGTTCTTTAGTATTAGACCATATCTTTAGTAGATATTATGCATGTGCATCCTCAAGTGTGTTAGGAATAATACGTAAGCTAAGAAGTAGGATATTTGGTGAATTGCTTAAATTGAATATATATATATATATATATATATATATATATATATATATATATATATATATATATATATATATATACTCATCCTTGGATAACTTTGACATAATATTCCCTCTACCTTTCACTTCTTGTTTGTGTTAATGTTCATATATATATATATATATATATATATATATATATATATATATATGTGTGTGTGTGTGTGTGCGCGCGCCTGTATATATATATATATATATATATATATATATATATATATATATATATATATATATATATATATATAACTTAGGTTATTTTATATATGTATAAATTTTATATAAGTATAAATATATAGATTATACATCTGGTCTTTAATACTTCTACCCAAATACGTAATTTAATAAGTCTAGAGTATTTATTTATTTTTCATTTGGTAAAATATTACTTCTCTTCCGTCGTCTTCGTTCATAAACGACTAAGTTTGATACATTTCAAATTCGTGTATTTGTCCATTGATAGTATCACACGTCACTTTAATAAAATTTGTTGTTACCAGAAGCCATGTAATTATAATGTTTTGAACACCCGGTTAGTCGGTCGTTTTCAAGAACCCGGTGCTAGTTCGGATTATAAAATAACATCGTTATTCGACAAATTCCTAGATCATGAAATTTCCTCACATTATTATCAAACTTGTAATAAATTTTCTCAACATTTTTAGATAATATATTATTTGTTATTTATTATTAATATAGATCGTCGTACACAAGTCTATATTTTTGCCAATCGTTACATTCTCCCCCCGTTAAAAGAATTTCGCCCCGAAATTCAACTGGTAGACGGGATATCACCCAACAATTGGGGGTATTTAATTTTCATTTGATCTTCGTGTTCCCAAGTAAATTCTGGTCCTCGCTGAGAGTTCCAACGAACTTTCACGATAGGAATACGACTTTGTTTTAAACGCTTCACTTCTCGATCCATAATTTCCACAGGTTCTTCAACGAAGTGGAGTTTTGTGTTTAGTTGTATCTCATCGAGAGGTATTACATTAGTGTCGTCGGACAGACACTTTTTGAGGTTGGATATATGGAATAAGTCGTGTACTTTGCTTAGTTCTTGGGGTAACTTTAGTCGATACGCAACAGGACCAATTCTGTCAAGAATTTTGAAGGGTCCAATGTATCTTGGTTTAAGATTTCCTCTTTTGCCAAAACGAATCATACCCTTCCAGGGTGAGACTTTTAGCATCACTCTATCTCCAACTTGGAACTCTAGAGGTTTACGCCTTATATCAGCATAGCTTTTCTGATGGTCACGTGCTGCCTTAAGTCGATCCTTGATTTGAATGATCTTCTCAGTCGTTTCATGGATTATCTCTGTCCCAGTACGCAATGTGTCATTTGTGTGTGCTCAGGCCAGTTGGGTATCCCCAACCTTTGCCCAACATATAGGCGATCGACATTTGCATCCATATAAAGCTTCGAATGGTGCTGCTTTCAGGCTAGTGTGATAACTATTATTATAGGAAAACTCAATCAACGGTAGATGATTATCCCAAGAATTTCCAAAGTCAATTACACAAGACCGTAGCATATCTTCTAAGGTCTGAATGGTTCGTTCACTTTGACCATCTGTCTGTGGGTGGTAAGATGTGCTCATATCCAAGCGGGTTCCCAGGGATTTGTGAAGTGATTGCGAGAACCTTGATGTGAACCTACTATCCCTATCCGAGATAATAGAGGTTGGCACTCCATGAAGCTTGACAATCTCCCTGAGATATGTTCTCGTCAGCTTTTCCATTTTGTCAGTTTCCTTGATTGGTAGAATACGGGCAGACTTAGTTAATCTATCAGCCACTACCCAAGTAGTGTCATAACCACTAGGAGTCTTGGGAAACTTTGTGATAAAGTCCATTGCAATTTGCTCCCATTTCCACTCGGGAATCTCCGGTTGTTGCAGTAATCCCAAGGGATTTTGATGCTCTGCCTTGACTTTAGAGCAAGTCAAGCATTTTTCCCACATAAGTGGCAATCTCAGCCTTCATATTAGGCCACCAATATAACTTCTTCAGATCTAAATACATCTTGTCAGAGCCAGGATATATGGAATATCTTGATCTGTGAGCTTCGTCCATGACTAAGCTCCTATTGTTACCAAACTTTGGTGTCCAGATTTTGTTCATGAAATAACGAGTTCTATCGTCCTTAAGCTCAAAATGTTTATCCATTCCCTGTAAAGCTTCTTCTCTAACATTCTCCTCTTTCAGAGCATCTAGTTGAGCTTCATGAATACGAGTATTAAGGTTTGAATGAATGGTCATAGTTAGCGCTTTTACCCGTCGCGGTTTCTTATGCTCTTTATGACTTAAAGCATCAGCTACAACATTTGCTTTTCCAGGATGATACCGAATCTCACATTCGTAATCATTCAATAACTCAATCCATCTTCTTTGCCTCATATTTAGTTCTTTTTGATCAAATATGGGTTGGAGACTCTTATGGTCAGTAAAAATGATACATTTCGTTCCATATAAGTAATGTCTTCAAATCTTCAAGGCAAAGACTACTGCTCCTGATTCTAGGTTGTGGGTTGTGTAGTTGTTTTCATAGACTTTGAGTTGTCATGAAGCATATGCAATAACCTTCTCTCTCTGCATTAAAACGCACCCCAATCCTTGAATTGACGCATCACAGTATACAACAAAATCTTAGGTTCCTTCAGGTAAGGATTTGATTGGTGCGCTACACAACATCTGTTTCAACTTTTGGAATGCAACTTCCTGCTTATCTCCCAGTTGAACTTTATTTCTTTTTGTGTTAATGCAGTGAGTGGCTTGGCTATCTTGGAAAAATTCTCTATGAATCTTCTATAGTAGCCAGCAAGGCCTAAGAATTGTCTCACTTCAGTTGGCGTTCTTGGTGCATCCCAATTCTTAACTGCTTCGATTTTTGTGGGATCCACATGTATTCCTCTGTTGCTCACTACATGCCCTAGGAAATGTACCTCTCTAATCCAAAATTCACATTCAGAGAATTTTGCGTACAACTTTTCCTTTCTTAGCAGTTCCAAGATCAATTTCAAATTAGTTAAATTAAAAATATTAATTAAATGTAATATTACATAATTACCCTCTTGAAATGATTGACCCACAATCATTCCTACATCCACACAATAGTTAGTTAGAATATATGAACCTACCTCTCTCCCTCTCTCTCTCTCTCTCTCTCTTTATATATATATATATATATATATATATATATATATATATATATATATATATATATATTGAAACATCCCAAAGATACAACCCAAAAATTTCGTTTTTAAATCATTAATAAACTGTAATTACCATAGACCATGTATCTTAAAATAAAGTAATATTTGTCATCATATCAAAATCTAGTATCAATTATCATAGTACATCTCCCCGGTTATAAAATTGTGGTGTGTTTCATGGAATCATCCCGAGCCCTTCTCTTTGCTAACTGAAGTACCTGAAACCAAAACTGAAACTGTAAGCAAAAAAGATTAGTGAGCTTCCCCAAACTACCACATACCATACACTTAACATATAACAAATAACAGAACTCTGGGACTACTCCCAACTGCATCGGGCCTGCCCCAGCATCGAACCAAAGCCCATAACATATAACATACAAACTAGCATACATCGGGCTTGCCTCGGAACACATAATACACGACATAATAACTAACATACATCGGGCTTACCCCGGAACACATAACACATAACATGTAAACTAACATACATTGGGCTTGCCCCGACATCAGACCGAAGCCCGGAACACATAACACATATCATATCACACGAATGAATCACAAAGACATCACACATACTTAACTACTTCTCTGGACCGCCCCGGCATCGGACCAAAGTCCGAAAATATATAAATTGCATCGGGTTAACCCCGACATCGGGCTTACCTCGACATACTACAACTACATACACGGGCCAACATTGGTGCCTTAGACCTTTCCTACTGGAGGAAAAACTCACCTCACACGACTGAAGTCCCGCTAACAAAACCCTAGCTGTTGGATGACAGATTCCTGAATTTGTCAACATCAAAATAAAACCCAATTAATAATTAGGTTCCATCACATATACTCATAAGTCCATGCTTGGGTAAAAGACTGCTTTACCCTAATCTTAGCTTGATCCAATCCCAAGTCCTAATCCAAAGGCCCAACAATCAACTATGAGTCAAAGCTCAACACATGACCCAATTTTCCAAATTGGGCCCAAACCTTTACATGGTCATAATTAAAGGCCCAACTACTTAGTCAAATCCAAACATTTGGTATTTCTATGGCCCAATATCATATAACCATTAATGCCCAAACTATGGGCCATTTATGGCCCAATTTTCCAAATTGGGCCCACACCCTCATATGGGCCTTACCCTAAAGCCCATATAAATATTCCAGTCCATTGATTAATCTTGGATGTCCCGTTATTAGCTCAAACACCAAAGCCCAAAAGAAAGTCCCAACATAAAGCCAAGTGAAATTAGGGTTTTATATAAAATGACGATTAGGGTTAAGTGTTTCTCACTAAACTCATAAAGGACTTAATTCATTAGTCCATCACTCTTCTAAATAAATCATATGGTGTGATTGGGCTTAGTACAGAATTCTATTCCAATGGCCCAAATGTGGGTCCCGATAAGTCTAAGGCCCATATATATCTAAAATTAGGGTTTTCTAAACCCTAATTAGGGTTTCTAAGCCCCTCACAACCCAATTAGGCCCAAAAGCTACATCCTCAAGCCCATTAGGGTTTCACTAGGCTCATTAGTCACATGTTTAGGCTTTTTGGTCAATCAGGGCATTATTGGGCCCATTAGGGTTTCATGCATCTCAAATGAGGTCCAAACGCAATCAAAACACACCGCCACCCAACAAGGCGACTGGTGGTGGTTAGAGTTTCTTTTCATTATTCACATTTCTAATTACATTTTACATTGCTAATCTCCAAAATAAGACACACAATAATGCTAAACACACATACACAGCCACCCTAATGGTGGCCGGCGGTGGCATGTGGTGGTGGTGGCTTTTTCCGTGAACTCCGCTAAACAAAACACCCAACCCACACTTCAAACAGAATAGCACACACTCCAGCCACCCACCTGGTGGCTCACGACGGCGACAACAATGATTTTATGATGACAGCCACCACCTCATGCTGGTGGCGGTGGGTATCTTTTGGCTTCCAATCACGCATCAACATAACACACGGACTTGAAGCAGAAATTCACACCACACAAACTCACAGTCACCTCCCATGGTAGCTGGTGGTGACGAGATAAGGCAGCGACGACAACAACAACACCTTCAGTAACAACAGCAACACGGTGGAGAGAAGGTGTCACTACTAGAAAAAAGGCCTTTTACGACGCTCATTGCGCGTCGTAAAATGCTCAGACGACGCGCAAATGCGTGTCAAGGAAGGCCCTGTCATAAAGAGAGACGACGCGCATTTACGACGCACATTTATGACGCGCATTTACGACGCGCGGTTATGACACGCAATGCGTATCAAGGAAGGCCCTATCATAAAGGAAGACGAAACGCATTTGCGTGTCGTAACCTTACGACGCACGTGTTTATGACACACAATGCGTATCAAGGAAGCCCCTGTCAAGAAAGGCCATGTCATAAATGAAGATGACACACATTTTTAAGTATCATAATTTTAAATGTTTAAAAAAATATTATTTATAGATTTGCTTATTTTCAAATTAAATTTGTATTTAATGTTTAATAATAGATAATAAAATATCATATACAAAAATAGAATCCATTGCATAAATTTAATGTCATACAAATAATCGTTCCATATGTAAACAAATATATACCAAAAACATCATGTCAAAAAATTGTAATACATTTATGTTAAGGGGATCTAATTGTACATTGTTATTAAGAGGTTTTCCCTAACTATATAACATAATACTAAATTGCTATTAAGGGACACCTTATGCAATGTAATGCTATACAAACTAAAAAGATATACACAAAGATGATAAACATCAAATTCCAACTAAGTAGAGTTGAATCTTGCCTTTCATACTTCTTTAAGACTAATATTGAACCCCTGCTCCGATAATTCTTGTGACCTGATCAAATAAAAGTCAAAAAACTAATATGTTAATACAATTATTAGAAGAATCAAACTTGGAATGTTAGTTGTAAAAGACGAAATTACCCTTTTCTCCATCCAAAGAATTTGGGATTTGGAATAAATACACTACAATATGAGTTACCTAATATCAATAATGACAAACACAATGACAAGAATACCTGCATACAAATGGTAAATATTATCTGTAAAGCTATCAACAATGATAATCACAATGACAATCTTTGATCATATAAACTAGAGAGTATATCATCACAATTCCATCTAACACCACCCATTAGAACACGTAAAGCTACTCAACCAACATATCATGTCATGTAATGTATTTTTTGTCAGTATATCTTCACATAGAAAACAAAAGTGAAATAAATAAAAATAACAACCTTCTCATTTACTGAAAATGGATATTGTTCACATATATGGGAGCCATTTTCAGAATTACCATCCCCATTTACCTGAAATCATTCATGCCATTTTAACTCAAATAATTTATTTATAGTAAAAAAAAATATTTATAATTATAGTGTTTTGATTATATAATATATACCCATCTGTCACTGACTCCTCATTCGTCATAAGAATGAACAAATATTTTAATTAATTACCTTGAAATGATAATAATATAAATACTATAACACCATGGCATGGTATATTTGAATAATACCTAGTGTAGCATCCAAGATAAGACGTTGACTTGTTGCTTGAGCAGATTTTGCAGTGTATGCTTTAAGGGCATCATCCCACCGTTGCAGCTTTTCATACCTTGTATTTGGAAGCAACATAAACAATTAATATTTTGAGAAAATAAGACAATGTAAATGATTTCAGGGTCCTGGAAATATACCATGATTCCTTCAGTTGTAAATCCATACAGCATCCCATATATAGTTATATACTTAAGAGAGTGAAAAAAGGAAAGTGAGCTAGTTTCTATATATGCTTACCCTCCAAAAAGATAGAAGTGAAAGTATCCAAAAGAAAGCACTTATCCACCTTGATTCCTTATATGCAATCCACACCTAATCAAAAGAAGCAATCAAACATTATTGTTATAACAAAAGTCGAAAAATCTCCTTTTCACTATAGTTGGAAAGTATATAATAAACAAAGACTTACTGCTACAATGACAATACAAAAATAGAAATCGGTTGTTGTTGCTATCATGCACCTGTGAGCATTTACAACTATGTATGAGCATTTACTATTACACTTTTTTACATAAATTAAATAAAAGGGAAATTTTAAATGGTACCTTGATAATACATTGGCATTGAATGTAGATCCATCAACGATAAGCACATAAATAAAAGTTCCCAGCATCAAGTAGCCTAGTGCAGAAATGATTATATCTGAATAAAGTGTTGTACTGAATGAACCGTCGGAAAATGAGTAACTGAACATTTTACCCTTCTGTATAGAAAGGAGGGTAAATAACAGATGATTTTATTTAAGAACATTTCTAAATCAGAGTTTACTTTCTATAAATAACAATACAGATGACAATATATTTAATTACAATAAGATTAGCAACTTAGATTGATCATGAAATTTAATCATAAATACTATTAATAGTAGTTTTAACCGGACATAGTAGTTAAGAATTGTTTTGATTGTGAATAAACTTCAACTCGAACAAATATGTTGACCTAAGAAGGTTTTACACTAGTTTTGATCTTAAGAATCTATTAGACTTCAGTTTTCAAAGATGATTATAAGAAAAATATCGTTCAAATAATATTTTAATACAAAGTAAAATGATTTTGGAGGTTGTAAGTGTTTGAAATGTTCGAATACGTAAATGAAAATGGTCTGAAATTTCAAATTCAAAAAACCATTAAGCAAAGCTTTTTCAGATCAAAACTAATGTAAAACCTTGTTAGGTCATCATGAAGGGAGAACATGAGAAGAGTTGTCTGGAGGGTAAAAAAAAAAGGAGGGGGGGGGGGTAAATAGGTAAACAAGTAGTGTCCAAATACATTAAGCCAGGTTTTTTGCTTAAACCAGTAAGCTATTCTGTCCGAATTAAGTCAAAAAACAACAGTGATATAAATAGTTGTCCATATTACGTGCTTAGCCCATTAAGCTCATTAAGTCGAAAAGAAATAACCCCTGAGATGATAAATGAAAAATATATTAAAAAAAAAATAAAAATAAAAATAAAAAAACAAGTTCTGCAAACCTTTATACGCCTGAAAGCTCGAATCTGGGCTTTGAGAACATGTAGTTGCTGCTTTGTAAAGCCTGGGTGTGGTTGGCCTTGTGGTGTTTGTTGTTTCTGAGATGTTAAAGGGTTTTCCAATCCAACACCATTAGCTGAAGCTGCAGGAGGCTGTGGAGAAGACCTATTCATCTGCTGCCTAGCATGCTGTAACTGCAACAAATGATCTGGACCTAGGCTCATGTTAGCAGGTGACTGTGGGGGAGACATAGAAGTGATAAGCCCCAACTCAGTCTGAAATGCTTTTAGCTTAATTGCTTTATTTGAGTCTTTTTATTTTCTGTTTTGGGGTCTAGGGGTAGTTTTGTCCTTTTGGGTTTTTTTTTTCTTATCTGCTATTGGCTATGCTGGGAAAAAAATAACAGCAAATGAACAACAACAACAATCTCTGTGGATTCAACAACAAGAAAATGCCCAGGAAGAGCTGAGGATCATCCGAACAGAGTTGCTAGAAATGGTGAAGATAATGAAGATGCATCGTGAGGACCAGATAAAGAGAGAAGAAGAGACAAAAGCTAAAATAGCAGAAATGAGAAAATATTACTACTCAGAGGAAGGGATGGAGGCTGAGAAGGCTAAATGGAGACAAATTTACTACTCAAACTTGAAGGGGAAGGAGAAAGTAGTCAATGAAGAGGAAGAAGAATCATTGGAAGATACGGAGTTGGAATCTGATGATGATGAAGAAGAATCGTTGGAAGTTACTAAGTTGGAATCGGAACCTGTGATGGAACCTCAGCTTCCACCATCACTGTGGTCGGCTCCACAGCTTTCTCCACCACCTTCACCACCGTTGTTTACACCAGCTCTAGGGTTCGAGAAGGGAAACGAGGCTACGATTCTGTTCATGGAAAGCCCTAATCAGAGTGTTAGGAAGCGGGAGATACCTTTGTTCGATAACCACATACCACCATTGCCGCCGCCGCCGCCCTACCCTCCTTTACCGCCACTGTCTCCACCACCGATGAGACTCGAGATAACCGGGGGGAATATGAAGAGGTGCTTCACAATGGGGGAAGAATTACTCACAAAAGACAAGAAAAACAGGGGAGGCCGGTCACCACAACCATCTGCGGGGGAGAAAAAAATGGATCCCTACCGTAGAAACAGAAAGGAAGAAGGAAATCCACCATGGCAATCTTCAAACGTGGAGGATGATGGGGAACCATAGCTTCCATAGACATGATCGAAAGTGAAGGAATCTGTACCAAGTTTCACCTGCAACAAAAACAAAGATTAATCAATTTCTCGATCATCAGAATTGATACTGAGATCGTCCATTGTTTCAGAGCTAAGAGAGATGCGAGAGTGTCTTCGTTCATGAAAAAAGCCCTAGTTAAAATGGTCACAACGATTTTGTGGAATTTAGTATTTGGTGATGTTTTGGTATTTTGTTGTGCGAGAAAAGAGGAGTGGTTATGATATTAGGGTTTTTTGGGTATTGATCAGTGAGAAGAGGGAAGAACGATGGAAATAATGCAGAGGATGAACGGGATGTTTGATGATACTGATAAGAAGGAGATCGAGTAGAGATTGATGATACTGAAGATGAAGATGAGAAACCTAGGGCTTTTTCTTGCTAAGTAGAAGAGGCGGGGGGATTAATTTTTGGGATTCAATAGGCGGGGATAATTTTCGTCGATTTCATTTCCCGCCTAAAACACGTATTTAACTTAAAAATTATAAAGCGACACATTTACATGACGCACATTTTATGAAAGGCGCCCTCCGCATTTCTTTTTTTTCTTTTCTGACACTAATTTTAAGGCGCGCACAAATGCGTGCCCTCTATCCTTCAAATTTTGCAAAATTAACATTATCTTTTAGGGCACTTACAAATGCACGTCGTCTATCAGCGAGTGTCATTGTTTGCGCGTCGTAAAAGGCCTTTTTTCTAGTAGTGTGTGACAGAAACAACGACAGAAGGCGCTCTGTCCTCGTCTTCAGCAACGACAGCTATCGGCAGCCTCATCTTCTCGTCAGAATTGACCATGGCGGCAGCAGCGAGGCGGTAACTTGGACGTCGACTTCGCCCCTCTGATCTCCAGTTGTTGTGGCATCTTCCGGGTTCCTAATGGTCTTCAATAATGCCGACAGCAAGAGCTGCTGGTGGTTGTTCTGGTCGTTGGCTGATCGGAACGGGGTGATGGCGGCGCCGGTGATGGGAGAAGGAAGGTGGCGGATGCCACTCTCTTTAGGGTTAGGGTTAGAACCAGGGGTGACAGGTTTATATATCCCGATCCCCCAAACTTGTTTCCATAATGACAAGTTTAGCCCCTCCCTCCAGAAATTATTTCGAAATAAACCCCTATATTTACCATTCAAACCCTGACCTCGAAAATCCCTTTAAAATCCAATCCAAAATTTACCTAACAGCCCCTCACTCTACAAATTATTTCCATGTGAAGTCCTTATGTTACTAAATGACCCCTCATCTATAAAACCATTCCAATTTAAGTCCACATGATACCAAACACCCCCTATCTTCTAAAAATATTTACAAAATAAGTCTTGAATTTTACACTTTAATCCCTGCCTTCTAAAATTATGATAGTTAACTCCTTGAGACCAACACCTTGCTATATAATTATAAATTTTAGGGCTACTATCCATTCATTAATTTGTTTATTCATTTATTTAATAAACGGGGTGTTATATATATATATATATATATATATATATATATATATATATATATAATATATATATATATATATATATATAATGGGTTATAATTGGAGCGTATAGATAGTGATCCATACCCAACCCATTTAAGAAAAGGGTAAACCGATATGGTCCCAAATAGATAAATGAATCGAAAATTAAAATCCAAACAAGTAAAATTCTTAGAGATTTATACCAAGTTATGGTACTTTCAAAAAGTATTTACCAAAACAAATTTGTTTACAACTTAGAGTGTGTTTGGATAAGGAAAAAAAAAAGAGCTTATAGCTTATTGCTTATCCCTATTGCTATAACATAACTTTAAGTGTTTGGGTAGGAAACATTAAAAATAAACTTATTATGGTGGGGAGAAGCTAAATAATCTATTTTGGAAATGCTCCCCCCTTGTTTAAAGCTTATAAATTATCGCTTATTCAAACACTTGTGCAAAAGTTGCTTTCTCACACCGCTATAAGGTAATAAACTATAAGCTAATTTATCCAAACACCCTCTTAATTACCATAAGATTGTAAACTTCTTTTTGTTAGGTTTTATTAGTTCTTTTAAAAGAATTAGTTATTGTCAACTCTACCACCCCTTCCATCATTGTTTCCGGCAAACACAACTTTTTTCCAACCACCATCTTTTCTTTGGCTACAAAACACAAATGAAAACTTCAAATATATATATATATATATATATATATATATATATATATATATATATATATATATATATATATATATATATTAATCTTACAAAGTTACATAAATGAAAATTACATCAAGTTATAATGATGAAATGCACTTAAAAGCGTCAATGATCATCACTAGCAACACTTGGGTGTTTTTCGAAGTTAACCATTAATTTCTCACGCTTTTTAACAAACTCTGAGGGGATATAACCTCGCCACACATGTAGTGCAGAACCCATAGAAAAAAGTTGGCCCGTAAATAGAACATATAATTCTTGAACTTGCAATTGAATTGCAACGATAACTATCAGATTAAGACTGAAGTTTTTAGAATGGAAACACAAAAAGAGGCGACTCGCAGATTAAATAGAGGTTGTTGGCATGAATCAAGGAAGCAAGTAATTAACCGAACTTTTATTATCATGTCAGCTAGTTTCTTCTTCTTTCCTTTGTTTTGTTTTTTTTTTTTTTTGAGTTTCCATCTTACAGAAACAAGATGAAAGTTCTGAGACTTAACACCCTATTCTAACAAGTTAAGAGGTGAAGAACCCGTCTACAAGCTCTAAGATTCATAATGGTCCAAACGCCAGATTTTCACAAACAATATCTTGGCTTTGACGAAGATGAGGCAGAGGCAAGAGAGGGAGGCGACATATGACTCAACGCGGGAGCAGGGGCGGTTCTCACTGGGTACCCGGTGTGGCACCGGCAACACCTAGTTTCTGCGTACGCAGTGGTAATTTTTTCGAATTTTTTTTTACTTATCGTGCCACTACGTAAAAAAAACCGGAAACCACGTAAAAAAAATTGGCAACTACATAATTTTTTTTGTCACTCTATTGGATCAAGGAATGCTAGAAATATATTTACAACCAAAAGTTATAATTAATTATTTAGTTTATAACTTAAACTCTTAATTAGTAGTCCAAAAACATTATTAATTGTAGCCTTAAAAAACAAATAAGCCTTAAAAAGCCCAATGACATTTGTAAGATAGTCCAATTGGGAGTTTGGACTTGGTCCACTTGGACATTTCATTAATCGGATTAAAGAAAAAATGAAGGAACATATGCCAAAAAAAATTGTCGACATCAGAGGGAAAATACGAAGCTTCTCTGCTTCTGTGAAGGCTGAAGGCTTCGATCGACTGATCGACATCGACAGAAAAGAAAAAAAAAATCGAATCGTTGGCCTATCTCGCTGCAATCTTTCTTCCATTCCTTGAGCAAAATTCAAATCTCGGTACGAAGATGCTTTTCGAAGATGAAACTCTTGAAGACCGACTTGCGCAACAAAATTGGCGATGACTTTTTGAACGATGCGTTGCTTTGTTATGTTGAGACCGAAGCACTTGTGAAAGTTGAGAATGAAAAAGTAATGGAACGGTTCCAAAAGATGTCGGCACGAAGAGGACAAATTTAAATTGTAATAGATAGTTGTTATGTTTTTAACTTTTTATGTAATTGATGGGTTTTTTTTAGTAGACGTAATGAATTAATTTTTGGTTTTATATTATGTTTCGCCCGAAAAAAAAAAATCGGCACTAGCAACACCTGCCATCAATTCCTGCGTCCGCCTCTGCGCGGGAGGAGGGTGGCAACGGTGAGCATCGACTCTTGAGAAGGCAGCATTAGGCAAGTAGGGAAACGGATGAGGAAAACCGGGAAAGGAGTATTGGGACTTTAATTTTTTTTATATAAAAAAATAAAATTATTTGGTAAATA